ATCACTGGAAAATCTCTCTCCCTGACTAGCATGGTCTGAATGTTTGTGTACCCCCAAAATTCATATGTTAAAATCCTAATGCTCAGTGTGACAGGATTAGGAAATGGGGTCTTTGGGAGGTGCTTAGGTCACAAGGGCAGAACCCCTGTGAGAGGGATTAGTGCCCTTATAAGACAGACCCGGAGATCCCTCACCTCTTCCACCATGTAAGGACACGGCGAGAAGTTGGCAGTCTGCAACCCGAAAGAGGGCCTTCACTGGAACCCAACCACACTGGCGCCCTGAGTTTGGACATCCAGCCTCCAGGACTGTGAGAAAGAAATGTCTGTCGTTTATAAGCCACCCAGTCTGTGGTATTTTGTTATAGTAGCCAGAACGGACTAAGACACTGATCAAATTTACCTGATGGTAGGCCTTCCCAAGAGGAGAGCCATTATCTTCAACACATCATGGAACCAGCCCATGCTCGCAGAGCTGGTGTGGGCATCTCTTGTCCTTCACTTTGTCCCCAGCTTGAAAGCTACTCATGCCACTGATTTTCTTAGGCAGAGGGTGGAACCTACCACATATTTCCCCTTAATTTGAGCCCCTTTTAGAAAATAACCTTCCAGCCTGGGCAAGGATTGATCTTTATGGCTGCAATTGTTTCCCCACATGGCATTTACTTTCATCCCAATAACACTGCTGAGGCCATTTGATGAAACACTGGAAAAGACTGAAAACTAGAAACTGCCCTTGATCATTTGTGTTTTATTGATTTTGTGTTATTTCAAATAACACAAAGGATTGCATAATATTCTAGTTTCCAAGCATTCTGAGTTAATATGTTACATTAAACTCAATAAACTTTGCATTCTTACTTCTGATTTCATCATGTTCCATGATGTCCATGTACAGTGAAGGGACCATTAGGGGTTTCCAGAAGGGATATCTTGACGGACTATGCTTATAACTGTACCGTGAAGATCTGTCTAGAAAATACAGCCCAACGTTAGCCACCTAGAAGATCCCATTCCAAGGCACAATCAGCACAAATATAGCATATTTTATAGTTTTGTAACTTTGTTTTGATAATCTTTACTATACTTGCTTTTCCCAATTCCTCTTCCTTTTTTTTCCTTCCTCTGATTACAACTGTGTTTTGTCCCCAGTACTCCACTAAAACTTCTCTTGTGAAGTTCACCAATAACCCCAAGTTATTAAATCCAGCAGTCAATATCCAGCCCTCACCTTCCTCCATGTCAGCGGTGATGGTTGGTCCTGCCTTAGACACCCGAGGGTATATGCACTCTCCTGCTGCATGCGCTGCTCCTTCTCAGGCTGCTTTGCTGGTTCTCAGTTCCCTGACCTCCTGAGACTTAGGCCTTGTTCTGCTTCTCTTCATACACCCACTCTTACAGGATCTCATCAAATCCCACAGCTTTCAAAGCCATTTCTATGCTGACAACTTCCAAATTTATGTCTAGTCCTTATCCCACCTCGGAACTGCAGACTCAGAACAAGCTTCTCAAACACAGTACGTCTGAAATTAATTTCCTAAATTTTCCCTCAAACCTGCTCCTTCCGCAACCCTCCCCATTTCAGTTAGTGAGAATGCTGCGTCCTTCCCATTGCTTAGGCCAAAACCTCAATGTGGTCCTTGATTCCTCTCTTCCCCCATACACCATATTCAATTCATCAGCAAATCCTGTTGGCTCTATCATCAAGTTACATCTAGAATATGACCACTTTCCACACCTTCACTGCTCCCTCCCTGGGCCCAGCCATAATTACGTCTTACTGAGTTTCTTACTGTTGGTGTTGTGATCCAACGTACACACCAGGATAGGCTGATGGCCACTCTGAGTTTATCATAACCAGCGTTTCAATATATACATAGCTTACATCTGTTAAACATACACAGGTGTTCTAGATAATGTAATTAGTGGATGCCAAGAATTCTTAGTGATTTCTCAAGGAGCCCTCCCTCGGCCTCTGTTTTGATATTATCATGTTTTTGCTGTGCTCGTATATTTTTAACTCGGAGCATGCAAGGCCTCTTAGGCAACGGCCCCTCCTGCTCCCAATATCGTGTCTCCATCTGTGCCCCCGGGGCAACTGTGCCTGGCTTAGGTTGCCTCCCCCTGGAGGTCTTACCCGTCATTGGCTAACCGGCCTTCTCACCTCCAGGTCACAGTTTGTTGGCAAGCCTTTTCCAGTGATTATTAACCCTTCCTGCATCAGGGGCGGCTACACTTACACCCTAACTGGCTTCCTAACTGGCTTCAGCTCCTACCCATGCACAGTCAAAGTACATATAAACAAATTAGCCATGTGCCAGCAGGAAAGACCTGGAAGACAGCTGTGGGTTTGCAACCAATAGTGTCTGTCACAATAATAATCAGTTTTGCTGATTAGATGAAAGCGTCCTATAAAGAAGGCTCTTTTCAAACATTAATGCTAACTATTAGGAAGAAAAGACGGAAGTGGGTCATCCAGAAGAAGTTAAATGATATGGTCCCTCAGGGATGGCTTCAGGGGCATGCATCCTGTGCAGATGTACAAGGCCCCGGACTCAGAAGGGTTCCACACTTGCTTTTATGTTCTCATGTCATCACCTTGAAATTCTTAATAATTTTTGAACAAAGGGACTTGCATTTTTATTTTGTACTGAGCCCTGCAAATTGTGTAGCTGGTCCTGTGGTCAATGCCGAAACTTGGTATCTGACATCAGGAATTAAAAGTAAAAAGTCAAATCTTGGACTTCCTGCAGCAGAACAACAAATATACAATGACTGAATATGAAGAGAACATGAAAATAAAACTTAGAATCTTGTTTTCTGGAAGGATGGTGGTGATTCCCATGGGGAACAGAGTGGAAAAGGAGATTTGTTTGAGAGAAAAAGAAAACAGCTCTATCAGCCAGAGGAACTGGACTTTGAGAATTTAATCCCTAAGGAGAGATGGGATGGAGAAGACTAAATCTGAGTCCTCAGAGCAGAGGCTGTAGTTAAGGTCCAAGAAATTAGACGCGATCACCAAGGAGTAAATGGAGAGGTTTTGGGGCTTCCTTAACTGAGGGCTGGAACCAGGCTAACTCACTACATTCTGTGTTTTCTTTTGGACTATTTATTCCTGAATCAAGGAGTTTCTCTGGAAGAATTGAAAGAAACAAGCCTGGTTTAAGGGTTCAGGTGGTGGAGCCAGGTGGTCCTCAGAGGTAATCTAGTCCAACATCCACCCTTTAGAGATGAGGAAACCAGTGCTCCAGAAAGCTGAGAAAACGATTCTATGTTCCTTTTTCCAAACGTGTTGAAATGCGACATCCAAAAATTAAGAAAAAAAATCTGTGGTATCTCGTGATGGCAGAAAGAGGCCTTGGTTTGACTGAACACTGTCACACGACCTCTCTGTACCTGGGCTCCTTGGCTGTAAGACGAAGATAATACCATCCTGGTATATCCTTCCTCTTCCTCCACTGTGGTGCGAGTGGCTCTCAGCCCCAGGGCGCCTGTCTGAGGGTCTGAGGACGGGCTAAAGCCCGGCCGGTCCCCCACTAACCCGGCCTCGGGGTGGGCTACATCCGTTTGCAGGAAGGGACAGACGCCTTGTTAGTTTCTAACTCGCCCAAAGGGCTGCATCCCTATAAAGCGGTGCAGTGAATGTGAGAATCGGGTACGTGCAGTGCCTGGCACGGAGAAGCTCTCAATAGAGGGATGTAATTCTTACAAACTCTGCAATGCACATTTACTGTAAACGCATGAGACTTGTAACAAACACAAAATGCCAAACTAGAATTTATCGGTAATCCTTACGGAAAGAATGCACTTATTCCCAACACTTGCATTATTGCCCTGGATCCTACTGTAAAATGCTTGGAAACGGCTGGAACACTAAGATAACCAGGTATTTATAGGTTGGTAAAAATGACTGCAACTGTTATTTAAGGATCCGGAACAGCACTGGGAAAAAATACAGAGAAACGTCACTGGAGCTATCAAGTTACAAAATACCTTGACTAGGAAAACTGATTTCCTTAAAACTTTTTTAACTGCATTCAAACGTACACTACTGCTTCTTCCTCACCAGGGAACAAAATTTGTAGTTTTTACTGTCAAACCATTCTCTTCTTCCAGAAAGTCTAAACCAGGCACCACCACAGCCTTGGGCTGACGTCTCCCGGCTCCCGCTCCCCGGCAGCACCACCGCGGGCCAGGCGGACGGGCGAGGACGCGGGGAAACTGCAGAGCCTGGCCCTGCGGGGTGAGGTCCGGACTCGGCCCGCGTCTCCAGCACAATCACGTTTTCAAACGCGAAATCCCGCTGGAACCCCCGCAGCGCTCGCCGCAGGGGCCTAGGGGAGCGCGTTTCTCCCCTGTCATCCACACCCAGGAAAGCTCGCCCCTCAGGGTGCTGGGCTGAATCCCCACAGGTCAGAGTAGGTCACGGGGATGTCCACCTGGCTGCACGGTCCCACTGCCCGGGAGCTTTTAAAACATACCGATGCCCCTGCCACTCGGACCCTGGGGATGACACCCAGGCACGGGGACTTGGTTAGAACTACCCCTCCGGTATTTAGTATCCTCGGACACTACTACCCCGAAGCAGGGTGGCAAGCCTCGGGGACGCAACGGCCACCACGTGGGCCGGGAGAACGCCCCGCCCCCGCGCCGCGCCCCCTCGCCCCGCACTCTGCCCGCGCCCCGCGCCCTCGCCCGCCTACTCCGCCCGCGCCCCGCCCCTCGCACCGCACTCCGCCCGCGCCCCGCCCCCTCGCCCCCTACTCCGCCCGCGCCCCGCCCCCTCGCCCCGCACTCCGCCCGCGCCCCGCCCCCTCGCCCCCCTACTCCGCCCGCGCCCCGCCCCCTCGCCCCGCACTCCGCCCCCCCCCCCCCCCCCCCCCCCCCTACCCCCCCCGCGCCCCGCCCCCTCGCCCCGCCCTCCGCCCCCGCCCCGCCCCCTCGTTCTGCACCGCGTTCCGCCCCCTCGCCCCGCCCAGCACCCCCGCCCCGCTCCCTCGCTCCGCACGGCGCCCCGTCCCCTCGCTCAGCACCGCGCCCGCGCCCCGCCCCCTCAACCCTTTCCGCGCCCCGCATCCCCGCCCTGCCCTCGGACGCGCCCAGCTCCGGCGCAGGCGCACAAGGCGCCGCCGACCGGAAGAGCGCGTGCGCCCGCGGGAGCCCTGCTCGCGGGCGGCCAGGAGGCGTGGGCGTGGAGCCGGCCGCCCAGCGAGAAGCCCCGGGGCCGGCGCGGCCCGGCGCGGCGCGGATGGCCCTGCTCCTCCTGCTTCTCCTGCCGGCCGCGGTCGGGGGCCAGGAGCAGGCCCAGGCCACCGACTGGAGGGCCACCCTCAAGACCATCCGGAACGGCGTGCACAAAATAGACACCTACCTGAACGCCGCCCTGGACCTGCTGGGGGGCGAGGACGGGCTGTGCCAGTACAAGTGCCGCGACGGTGAGGGGCGGGGAGACGGACGGGGGATGGGGGGCGGGGGCGCGAGGGGGCGGACCGGGCATGGGGGGCCGGGAGCGGGGCAACGGACGGGGGATGGGGGATGGGGGACGGGGCCCGAGGGGGCGCACGGGGGATGGGGGATGGGGGCTCGGAGGGCGAGACGGGAGGGGACGGGCTGCGGGCGCGGGGGAGGGACAGAAGGGGTGGAGGTGGACACCGGGCGGACCCGGCGGCGTCCTCTGGCCCCGGAAAACCCAGCCCCCGCTGGAGTGCCGCGGCTGTAGTGATTGAGCAACCTGGCTGCAGGTCCGCGTTCGCACCACCCTTGTTAGAATGTGAGAGGTCGTCCCCGTGGGTTCTCTCCGCTCTCTTCTCGTTGCTGCCGAATTACTTTTTTTTTGCAAATGCACGAAGTGGCCTGAGAACTTCGTGCCATGCGCATGCTCAGGATGGAGTGGAACAGGCTGATTTTAGCTCTGCATTTTAGCGCCTTTAGTCAGCTGGACGTGCAAAACAGCCAGAACTTTAAAGTCATGACGTTTTAACTTTCTCAAGAATTAGCTTTAAATTCTTTTTATGCAACGCTGCAGAAAAGAAATGGCGACCTTTGCACAGGGTTTTGGTGTACTGTGGTGTTGAGAAAGAGTTCTTATAGCTCATCTAGAAAATCAGTGCATCGTGACTTGACAGGAATTTTCTTTCCTTGGAGATCGGTGACGCCGCCGCCTCGTTGCTGGTTAATGTTACTATAATTCTTTTGATTTGCCTTTTATGTTTTTTAACTTTAATTCTGTTTGAATCTGAGAACTTGTTTGGTGATATCCTTGGTAATAATAAACTTGGTTTTTCAGGCAGAGATTTTTCTTTTGAAGCCCTTGACTTTTTTGAATGCATCAGTGTTGTAATAGTTCAGATAAAGTCCTTGGGTTTCTCTTTGGAAATTAGCATTTGGAAAAAATGCTAAGAGTACTTGAGAGATCATGTTTCCGTAAGAGCAGACAAGGCCTGGGCCTAGTTAATTTCATACTTAGCAGCTCAAAATAAAAGAGAACTGAATGACTTCAATGGTAAAGTCAGGTTGTATGTAGATGAATTTGAAAGGAGCCTATGTCATGCAAAACCGTGATGCCATTTACTGCCTGTAATTCTCAAAATAATTCTAGTCTTCTGTTAATGGAGGTAAAGAATGAGCTGTGGGGCCGGCCCAGTGGCGCAGCGGTTAAGTTCGCACCTTCGCTTCTCTGCGGCCCCGGGGTTAGTGGGTGCGGACATGGCACCGCTTGGCACGCCATGCTGTGGTAGGTGTCCCACATATAAAGTAGAGGAAGGTGGGCACAGATGTTACTCAGGACCAGCCTTCCTCAGCAAAAAGAGGAGAACTGGCAGTAGTTAGCTCAGGGCTGATCTTCCTCAAAAAAAAAAAAAAGAAAGAAAAAGAGTGAGCTGTGTCTTGTACATATGAAGCGATGACTCTTTCGCTTCTTTCTAAATTTATGCATAAATGTTACCAGCAGTATGCAATCAGGAAGGATGCTTTCGTCCTTGTAGTTTGAAGGTTAAATGGTTGCCTTTCCTGAGGCAGATGGCAGGGTTTGATTTAGTCATCCCCATTCGCTATACAAATATTTGAGTGCCTCTGATGTGTCAACTAATTGGATATTCAGCAGTGAACAAAACAGAATTCCTGTCCCTGGAGCTTGCATTCTGGTTCCCCGGAGAGAGTTGGTAAACTAATGAACAAGGAAAATAAGCCAAATATACGTTATATGTAGGTCTGGTGTGCCACTGCTTCCAGAATGAGAAAGCAGAGTAAACAGTAGCGGCAGTGTCGGGAGGCAGTTTACTCCTTGAAATGGGTTGTTTAAGGAAGGCTTCACTAGTAAGATAATGTTTGAGAAGAAATCTGGAAGTGGTGAAGGCGACACTGATAATCTGGGGAAAGAACGCTCCAGGTGGAGGGTAGGGCAGGAGTGCAGGACCTGAGGAGAAAGGCCAGTCAGGGATGACTTGGAAGGTTCTGGCCTGAGCCAGAGGAAGGGTGTGGTAGCCATTTGCTGAGACGGGAAAGCAGACTTCACCAATTTCTTGTGAGTCAAGGGTCCTTAGGGTTCATTTACACTTAAAAGATCTCTGAAGTTGCATGGACACTAATCATATTAAAATGATTATTTTAATATTTCTTTTTACTTAATCTTTTTTATCTTCCACGAGCCTCATTACATTTACCGTTTGGAGTTTAGTGTGTCAGATGACAAAAACAGTACAATTTAGTGAGAAGTTTGATGTCCCTTATTTAAGGAACCTCAGCCCTTGGATTGGGAGAGTGCAGTGCCTCACAAGCAGTGGATTTGGGGCAGCAGCCAGTTTAGAGTATGTTAGCAGAGGCAGTGAGGAAGCAGGCCCTGATTGGCCAGCAGGCGGGGTTCCTGGCAAGACCAGCAGGTGCTGTTTCCTGGGGTGAAGGGAGCCTGCTACAGCTGAGCTGGAGGGTTGGGATTGGTGTCTGTCAGGTTTCCCCGAACAGCCAGGCGTTTCCCGTAAGTGCAGGCTGACTTAGGTTTAGATTTGAGACGTGGGCTGGACCACTGGGGCGGCCTCCATTCTGTGAGTCCCAATATATGAATTTCCTTTATTAAGAGCAAGGTCTCCAGCATGAAAAACACAAATGAACTTGAGAATTTAGGAAATGGTATGCTTCAGTGGAAATCCTTTTCTGTCTGGCTAAATACAGTCTGCTCATTGGACTGTGGTTCCAGGTCACCGTGTTAATTCCACCGTAATAAAATCGTTCTTTATTTGCTGTTACTTGAGAAGTCTCCTTGGAACACTGTTTCAGCCTTTCCTCTATTTTGGAATGCAGGTGACCAAGTCAGAACCAAATAGAAACAGACAGATGCCAGAGGAGCATGGTGATTAAGGGGTGTTTTATAGTTGCCCTAAAGAGGTCAGGGAGCTAAGACTTAAGGCTAGGGTGGTCAGGTTAAAGGCCACAGACTTGTTTCGTTCAGTTATCCTTGCTTTATCGAAAGGGCTGGAATTATGGAGACTTGCTGCCTTCTGGCCGTCCTTCCTACGGTGGGGACAAGACTTTAGTGAGAGTTACTTTAGTAAAGTTACGGAGGGATATAGATTTCATGGTCACCATTTTTTTTAACTTTTTTCTCCCTGACAGCAAAGAATTAAGGAAGAAAACTTTTTGATTTCCTTTGAAAAATAGAGAGCAAAATTGGCTCGTAAAATCTTTTAGAGTTATGAATAAGTCATCAGTTCATTCACTGACTTATGTTTTAACAGGATCCCTTTGGTTGTCGCGCTGGGAATAAAAGGGTTCAGGAGGGGTGAGGGAGCAGGATTGGAGGCAGAATGACAGGTGCAGGAATTCAGACAAAGGATGCTGGTGGTTTTGTCTAGATTGGTAGCAATAAAAGTGGTGAGAAGCAGTTGGATTTGGGATGTTTTTTGAAGGAACAGCCTAAAGGATTTGCTCATGGCTTGTAAGTAGTGAGTGGAGTCAAAAATGATTCCAAAGTTTTTGGGCTGAATGTTTGGAAGGATGGAGTTGGCGCTAACTCCGTGGACGTTAACTCCAATAGGGGAGACCGTGGAAAAATGTTTTCTGGTCATTAGAGAAAATAATAGTATATTTGCATGCTTTTGAGAATGATTCAGTAGAGAGTAAAACACTGATGAGGGAGAGAAGAAGGATTGTTGGAGTTACATCCTTAGGTAGGTGAGAGGAGGGGTCCTCGTACAGAGAGAGGAAGGATTGTTGGAGTTACATCCTTAGGTAGGTGAGAGGAGGGGTCCTCGTACATAGAGAGGAAGGGTTATTGGAGTTACATCCTTAGGTAGGGGAGAGGAGGGGGTCCTCGTACATAGAGAGGAAGGGTTATTGGAGTTACATCCTTAGGTAGGTGAGAGGAGGGGGTCCTCGTACAGAGAGAGGAAGGATTGTTGGAGTTACATCCTTAGGTAGGTGAGAGGAGGGGGTCCTCGTACATAGAGAGGAAGGATTGTTGGAGTTACATCCTTAGGTAGGTGAGAGGAGGGGGTCCTTGTACATGGAGAGGTTGGCCAGGAGCGCGGGTAGCCTGGCCCTGTCACTAGGAGCAGAGGTACAGGATGTGGCTGAGGCGCTGCCAGATGGGCAGATGCTCAAGTCTCTTCCCATTGCCTCGCTCTTCTCAGTGAAGTAGGAATCAGGGCCATAGCTGGGAGAGAAGATGGGAATGGAAGTGTTGGAGGTTGGAGAAAAACAGGAAAGTGACTGGACTGGAAACTAAGGTAGCGTGAGGGCCCTGTGGAGAGTAATGTCATGACTTTAAAGGCCGCTGTGTTTGGGAAAGCAGGCTGGGAGTCTGCACTGTTCCCTGCAGACCACAGGGTGGGACCTTGGCGACCCAGCAGCCGCCTCTTGAGGCTTCTCATCTGCTTCGTTGTCTTTCAAGTGAAAGAAATTGGTCTGTTTGGAAGTATTTACATCAAATTAAGAAAAATATGTAGAGGGGCCGGCCCTGTGGCCGAGTGCTTAAGTTCGAGCTCTCCGCTGCGGCGGCCCGGGGTTCGGATCCTGGGCGCGGACATGGCACTGCTTGTCAGGCCACATTGAGGCAGCGTCTCACATCCCACAACTAGAAGGACGTGCAACTAAGATATGCAACTACGTATTCAGGGGCGGGGGTTTGGGAAATAAAGCAGAAAAAAAAAAGAAAAATATGTAGAAAAGAACTCTTTTTGTCTCAGGCCAGGCAAATCTTCAGATTTTAGCTGTCCATACAAATGATAATACATCACGTATCAAGAGAGGAGTAGTTGCTTAAGTCAGGAGGTGAAGTCAGTGACTGGTAGGTCTGTGTAGTTGTGCACAATGAATTTGGTTTGTTTTTTAAATCCTTCCCATCTCATTTTTTCTTAGCTTCCTCTGTCTGCTTACAAATTTGGGGGCCAGTGGCCCCAGTACGTCATGGCTTTTTGGGTTAACTCTGTTTCTTTTGTTGGGA